TTTGGTTTATTACCTTTGACATCAGTGAGTGCATAGCAGCCTGTGTGATCTAGATTGTTTGAGGGAATCCACCTCTCTCTTCGAGTCTATGAGTTGCATAAAAGCACGATCACCGTTTGAGGTACCCCTCAACTTGTATCTGGAACACCTTTTCTGAGCTTGCGGTTGGGAAGACTGATACTCTGAATGCCATAACCGACAGCTTCCCGTACTTTCTTAACAATGCCAGAATCTTCATTCAGGATCTCAAGTTCTTTAGTAGTAAGCCAGAGGCAAGGGCTCGTCTTCTAGGCAACAAACCATGTGTTCTTTTTGGGCCAACCCTACTTCTCAAGCGCAGCCGTGGACAAGATTCTGGCGCTTCTCATGCCCCCTTCTGCCCTCCAAGGTCATCTCGATGATTTGGTGTAGAAGAAAGCTGAGCGCGGACAGGAGCAAGGGTTCTGCGCAGCTCATGATTTGGCGCCTATCTTTCTTCGTGCTTTTGGCATGGATTGGGCGGTTCTTAAACGCGAGAAGCTCACCCTCCAGCGTACCAAAGATGCCTTGAGAAGACATTCTACCATGGACTCGCTCAGCCAGGCTTTCTCGAAGCTGACTCCAAAGAGACATGGCGGAAACCGCAAGAAGTGATCGGAGGACATCGCTAGTCTAGATTAGAAATCTAGATAACCAATCCTTACATTCACGAAGCGTTTCTCCAGATGCGCACATTATATTAGTTTGCCAGGGATATCGCCTATCAAGCACTGCATAATTGTGATGCGACTTCAATATGCGCAAACCGTTCCCGAATCAGATGCAATTTCTCAATCAGAATCTTCTTGGAGACCTGCTGCAAATTCCGGAAGGAGAAAATGACGTCCTTTAGAAACAAAATATCGTCAATCCGACTGGTAGTCTCCTCGAGCGTCACCTGTGGCCCATGAAGAACCACGTCCGCGATCGTATTGATGATCTCCAATAACTTGCTCAAGATCGACGACCCGTGGATCTGTATCGTGTTTTGTGAGATCTTAGTGAGGAACTGGCGTAGCTGACAGGATAATCGGAGCGGCATCTCGAGCGACAGCGATGGACAGGAGGCATGAGAAGACAGCAGGCAGTTTGACATGGCCATCTGCCAGAGGAGAGTCCGCATCCACTGGCGCGTCACGACCAGGTCCGCCTGCTGCAGATCCGACAGCATCGAGACCTCGAGCTCCCAGAGCTCGTCGTCGAGCTCCCGATGTTTTTGCTCGACCCATGCAACCGTCACTTGGCTCCGATCACCGGTCCAGAGGCTGATAAAGGTCGGCTCCAGCAGGAGGAATGTCTTGATCACCTGGATCCACCCCTGGGAGATACTGGGATCGAGACTGGGGTCGTCCTCGGGAAATTGCGCATACGGAGACAGCGTCGCAGGGGAAAAGTGAAAAATGGACATGAACCGTTCATGGATGAAGCACAACCAGTAAAGTCGCTGTCGCCGGGAGCGTTCGGTTAGGTCAAGGCTGGCCATGACGGCTTTGTCTTCAATCCGAAGGAGATGCACCATGCTGATCGCTTCTCGCAGGTAGAAGAAGCCCAGGTCATACTGCCCCAGGCTCATGTAGCACATCTGGATGTACACGCTTGTGACAGCCCGCAGGATAGACGGTCGGAAACCCGGGAGTAATGGAGTCCGGAGCTGGATCGCTCGGCCGGCGAGCTCGTTGATCTGCTCTGACACATGGGACGTCGCTGCATTCGACTGCGTCAGGTCAATTGTGACCCCGGTAAAGGCGTAGACAAAGGCAGCATGGTCTCTATCTGTGGCCATCTTGCCAATGGACTGGCAGATCTCCTCGTCCGTCATGATCGGGTTGAAAGGATACACATAGGCCATGTACTTCGGGATGAGACTATGCAGATATGATGTCGATAATGTCACCGATTTCAGATCTGGGAGAGACGACGGTGGGACTAGTACAGACGTCGAAATATGTTCACTCTTGAGTTCCCGCGCGAAGGGGATTTTGTACTCGGAAATCACGGTTCCTCGACGGAGAGCATTCTTTCGCGATCGCGCGCGTTGATTGTCGCTATATGTACAGAGCAAGTCCAGATGCTCACATTGCTGACACCGGTGTTGACCATTGCACCGGACTTTTCGTCGTCTACATGGATCGCAGGCTCGGGAAACCTGGGGTTTCTTCAACCGGGTGGTATCCATCTCTGCGACTAGACAAACAGACAAGCCTAATCATAGAGTTGTCTCAGTTTCTCATGCTCATCATCAGTTATCCAAGTCCAGCGTCCACACATAAGAAGACCAAGACGCCCAGTGGAGCCTCCGTCGAGTTTCACGGTGAAAAGTGCCGAAAATAACGGCCATTAAATATTATTAATAATAACCACCAACCCCACATGCTGGGGAACTGAGGCTATACTACTTTGGGTATATGCCTAGGCTATTAATTTGCAGAGAAATGAATTATTTTTTAGTCTCAATTATATGTAATTAACGCCAGTACTAATTAGGATAGGTGTCCGCTCAATTAGGTATAGCCTCAACTGCATATATCCTGCCCTCATATGGCTGCAACTCCCCCTCCTCGCTTACAGTCTTGCCAATGTTGCTAATCATCAGCCTTAAATTCCGGTTCTGGAGCTCCATGGGCTTCCAGAATGGTTTCAGCTCTTCGGAAAAGTTCAACACGACCAGCATACACTGCTCTTTGGAAGTCTTGAGATAACTGAAGATTTTCTGGTTGCCCTCGTCCAAGAGCTCGAAGATCCCAAACACGAAGAAATCAGCGTACTCTTTCCGCAGCTGAATCATCCGCTTCCAGAATGACAGAACGGAAGACGGGTCGTCTTGCTGCACCTGCACGTTGACCTCCTTGTGGTTGTCATGGGGACGCATCCATGGCTTCTTTGAGGACGGATGAGAGAACCCCGCATTGGCTGCTGCGCTCCACTGCATCGGAAGTCGAGCGTGGTCTCGAGCCAGGTGTTGTAGAGCCTTCATGGCCGTCTTCATCTGTACGGGGTCGTTATTCGTCATCTCGCGCACCATGTGATAGTACTTGGTGCTATCGATGTCCTTGTACTCCTCGATAGGCCATTCTTCAGGGGCGTTGGCCATGCCGATTTCCTGCCCTTGATAGATGAACTGTGTGCCAGACAGTGTGCACTGGAACATGGCAAGCATCTTTGCAGACGTTTCGCGGAGTTCAGGCGTCCTGTCCGAGCCAAAGCGAGAGACAGAGCGGCCTTGGTCGTGGTTCTCAATGAATACCGTGGTCCAGCCGTCGGTTCCCTTGAGGATGTCCTGCGTCCGCTTGATCGCTGCCTTGAGGTCGGGCAAGGTCCACCCGCGCGGTGTGGTCAGGAACTTGTACTCTTTGCCCAAGCCGAGGTCGACGACATCAAACGAGAAGACCATGTTGAGCTGCTTCTCGGCGGCCGATACATACCGCAGCACTCCCTCCAGGGTATGCGTCTCTGGCAGCTCGCCGACGGTCATGGCGTCATACTTGGCCAGCACTTCGTTCATCTCGCTCAGATACTCGTGAATGCGCGGTCCGTTGCAGAACAATGAGAAGGCCACCTGGGTGTCGGACTTGGGGTTGACGATGGGGGCATCGGGGTATGACGGATCCTTGCTGTACATGTTCACTGTATCGACCCTGAACCCATCCACGCCTTTTTTGAGCCAGAATTCCATGGCTGAGGCGTAGATGGCCTGTCGTACTTTAGGATTCTCCCAGTTGAGATCAGGCTGTTCGACAAGGAATAAATGCAGATAGTACTCCTGTGTGGTCTGGTCCCATTCCCAAGCACTGCCTCCGAACACACTGCGCCAATTATTTGGGGGTTTCCGATCGCGATTGGCATCGTACTTGGCCGGTCTCCAGATATACCAGTCTCGCTTGGGACTGTCTTTCGAGGATCGGGATTCTTTAAACCATTTGTGCTCATGTGATGTATGGTTGACCACCAAATCTAGGATGATGCGTAGTCCACGGCGGTGACAAGCATCAATCAAGGCCTCCATGTCCTCAACTGTTCCATAAGGAGGATACACCTTCTTGTAGTCGGAGACATCATAGCCCATATCATGTTGCGGACTGTCGTACATGGGACAGAGCCAGACGACGTCTACCCCTAGGCTAGCGATATAGTCGAGTTGCGATATGATACCGGGAATATCACCGATGCCGTCATTGTTCGAGTCTTTGAAGCTGGCCGGATAGACCTGGTAGATGATGGCATTCTTCCACCATTTCTCACCCCGGGGGGCGGGCGACATGGTTACGACTCTGGACAAGGATTATGAACTTGGATGAATGACCAATACTGGAGTCACTATCTAAGATGAGGAGGTGCGGCGGCTGGTCGGAGAATATGCATAACATTGAGATGTCGCGGAATATATAACCATGAAGTGATGGTGATCGAGCCATCTTGATCGACAATCTTGCCAGTTGTCAACCCATCCCAACCAGTCTGAATGATTCCAAGTCGGACCGAGTGGATATCCCCATTTGCTTTCGTGTCAGCAAACATGTCGCCTTATCGTTCTATCCACCCCGCGAGTCAGCACACAGGGCAGGAAGCATTCCTCATGATCGGCCGAGCACCGCATGATTTGAGACGTGTAACTCCATTCCCCACTTCTGCTCCCACTGAGCGGTTTTGATTGGTGCAGCTGTAATATATGCCGAGCGGTTGATTTGTCCAAGGCGAGTGGGCAGAGCGCCCCCACACGCTCTCATTGGATACGGGGACTACCCCTCACATAAGTAGCGCAAAGGCTAAGTATACTTTAAACCACTATGGGTTAGAGGGTGCATTAGCGCCAAAATGCGAAACCAGAGTCGGGCCGACATTCTACCAATAACACGCTCATTTCCCGTCTCCCGACCAATTTTCGTCCCGGTGTGAAAATTTGGCTGCGATTCGAGGCCATAAACGGGGGCGAATTTCAGGGGAACTCAAGAGTAAAAGACTTGTCTAAACTGCCGCTTGGGTCTCCTCAGTCCTCCGACTCGTCAGTCGTCTTATGCTCAGACTCGTCTTGTGGCCAATAGTCGCTGGTCAGAGAGACAACTCATTCCGGATCGATAAATCTGGGGATATCGAGGGTCCGCGACAATCCGGGGAAGCCGACCAGAAGTTACTATCTACCCCACATCTCATCATCCCATTGCCATCGTCCCTTCCAGCTTGCTGCAAGTCTGCCACACTGCTTAAACAGTCAACTAAGCTCGGGAACTTGTGTCAAGAGCCAATGACCGCCATCGGACCGGAATGGTCTGACTTTTAAGGCTTGCGAACGGGCCCAGCTTCTAGAAGAATTACTCTAAACTTTGCCCCCCCGTGGACTCTGCAATACGAACCAAGGCGCTCGTCCTATATAAAAGCCGCGCATTCCTGCGGCCACGTGCCCTTCCCTTCTTTTCCGTCGACCGGCCTGGCCTTGCCTGGCAATTCCAACACCGATATCAGTTATTGGCTCATCACAAACCATGGAGATCGAGAAGTCAGCCAGGATCGAACATGTGGAGGAGGAAACTGGCTCACGCAGGTCCCATCCCCAGCCTGCGAGCCACCAGGACCTCGTTGCCAGCAGTGAGGCACAGGCGGCCCTCGACAAGGAACACAGCATGACACTGTGGCAGGCACTGAAGATCTACCCCAAGGCCGTGGGTTGGTCTATTCTTCTGTCGTGCGCCATCATCATGGAGGGCTACGATGTTGTCTTGATCGGTTCTTTCTTCGCTTACCCCCAGTTCAACCAGAAGTACGGCCATATCATGTCGGACGGAAACTACGGTCTCGATGCCAAGTGGCAAGCGGCCTTGACCAACTCGATGAGCTGCGGCCAGATTATCGGCCTGTTCATCAACGGCATCGTCTCAGAACGCTTCGGGTACCGGCGGACCCTCATGGCTTGCCTGGCCGCGACTGTCGGGTTTGTTTTTATTTTATTCTTCGCGCCAAACATACAGACCCTCGTTGCCGGCGAACTGCTCATGGGTATCCCCCTCGGCGTGTACCAGACCCTCACCGTCACCTATGCATCGGAAGTATGCCCTGTCGCTATTCGCGGCTACCTCACCACCTACGTGAACCTGTGCTGGGTCCTAGGCCAACTGATTGCCTCCGGTGTCCTGAAGGGGCTAGAGGGGCGCACGGACGAGTGGGCCTACCGCATCCCCTTCGCCATTCAATGGGTGTGGCCCGTCCCCATTTTCATCGGCGTCTTCCTCGCCCCAGAGAGTCCCTGGTGGCTCATCCGCAAGGACCGCCGAGACGACGCCGTCAAAGCGCTTAACCGGCTGGCCATCGCCGGACACCCTGACTTCAATGCCGAGGAGACCGCATCGATGATCGTCTACACCAACGCGCTGGAGAAACAGGTCGAGACAGGCACATCCTACGTGGACTGCTTCCGCGGATGCGACCTGCGCCGCACCGAGATCTCGTGTCTCGTCTGGGCCGCGCAGAGCCTCTGCGGCGGTGGGCTCATGGGCTACTCGACCTTCTTCTACCGGCGTGCTGGCCTCGCCGTCTCCCAATCCTTCACCATGTCGCTCGTCCAGTACGCCATCGGCGTGGTGGGTACTTTTCTCTCCTGGGTGTTGATGACCTACTTCGGTCGTCGCCCGTTATATGTCGGCGGACTGGCTCTGCTCGCCATCGTTCTCTTTGTCATCGGCTTCATCTCCATCCCTCACTCCACCTCCGCCCTCTCCTGGGCCACCGGGTCCATGCTCCTCGTCTACACCTTCATCTACGATTCAACCATTGGCCCCGTCTGCTTCTCTCTCGTCTCTGAAATCCCCTCCACCAGACTCCGCACCAAGACCGTGGTGCTCGCTCGAAACCTGTACAACGTGATCAATCTCGTCTCGGGAATCATCATCCCGTACATGCTCAACGTGGACGCATGGAACTGGAGAGGCAAGTCGGGGTTCTTCTGGGGCTCGCTCTGCACCTGCTGTTTGATCTGGGCGTTCTTCCGCATCCCCGAGCCCAAGGGTCGGTCCTATGCCGAGTTGGATATCCTGTTTGAGCGCAGGGTCCGCACCAGGAAGTTTGCCACTGCTGAGACGGGCTTGGTGGAGGGAAGAAGCGATCACAAGGTTGATCCGCTTGCTGTTAGCGTTTGATTACGAACGGTTGATTTGTGTATATGATCATGGCTTCAGAAATATGGATGGACATATTGTCTATTGTGTGAATAGTGTATGTAATCTACTCAATCCACAATCCACAATCCACAATCCACAATCCACAATCCACAATCCACAATCCACAATCCACAATCCACATTTCCTCATATTTTTCACTTCGCGATCTGCGCTCCGGAAGTATACCGGGAATTAAGTAGTGAATTTCGGCGAGCGAGTAAGCTCCATCAAACGGGCCAACTTGATCTGGGCCGGATGGTGGTAGGGTATCTGCTCTACAAGCTGGATTACGACTTCGCCGACGCTCCAGACTTCTGTTGACAAGGGCTCTTTCTTCGGTAACAGCGAGAGAATCAAGTGGATGGCGGAGTCAAGGGACGTCTTTGAGTCTGGTTGAAGATGGTCGTTTAGGATTTGGAATACCTTGTCTTGACTGTAATCCGTGATCCCTCCCGACAATATCTGTCTCCGAACTCGTGGCCATCGATTTGCTTTCTGCGGAAGCGGGAGCACCGGTGTCAATACTCTCCGTTGGCTGGTGCTCAGTTCCCCAACCTTGGAGCTTGAGCTCGAGTTTTGACATATCGAATCTGGCGATAAGAGTATCTCGTCAAATGTGGTTGAAGAATAGCGAGTGTGGTGATAGCGCGAAACCACCGTCTGAAATAGCCGCTTTGGACTGCCTGATCGATGTGACACTAGCCGCCGAGGCTGAGCTCAAGATCCTACGATTTCGGCTGATTGAATGAATCGAGTGCAGTAAACCGTGGCCAGCTAATTGGCGCTCGAGTCAGCCTTGTCGATAAATCTAAGGTCAAGTCGACAACGATTTTCAACGATATCGTGAGACAGACTCGCCGGAAGAACAACAAGAGAACGAACCCGAAGATACAATGACCAGGAAAAGCTTTTTTTCGGAAAGGAAGCTTCTACGAGTATCCGACCATGGAATACCCGTACAACACGCCGAACAGTAAGGGGTCAGGCTTACAAGATTGTCACTGGCAAACGAAACGATGCGGATCCTTCGTTATTTACTCGAACCATCACTCATCGACACAAAAATGTGCAGGGCGTCATCTATCATTCAGAGGGTAGGCAAAAGGACTTTGTAAGAGCGCAGCAAATCTACAATTCCCGGACGTATGGGCCGCCTGTTTGACTGTTTGAACCTGGTGTATGCGATGTATCCATACTTCCTCATAATTTGTTCTTGTAACTTTTCAAATGCTATCCACCTTCTTCTACATCTTTCTTCACTGAAGACAGCTTCCAGTACAAATAGAATACTATTCAATCCAAGCTTTACTATACACAAGGGAGCGACATCAAGCCACTAAGGCTAGAAACAAGCGACACCACGACCAACACCTTCTAGCCTCTAGCAAGAGGAGAGAGGCTCTGTGTACTGGCAAGCATCACTAGGACCATCGCTGATCTCCTCGGGCTCATCGCCGGTATCGTTGCCCTCATACTCCACACAGATCTTCTTGACGTCGGTGGCGCAGGTGCTGCTGTCGATGGAGGCAGTGTCACCCAGGTTGCTGTTGATACCGACCAGGGTCTTGCCGGAGTTCGCGACGACGTTCTTGATAGTCACGGTGCGAGCATGCTGCTCGTCGCAGTTGCCGCAGGACCGGTAGAGCTTGCCAAAGTCGTAGACGGTGAAGCCGTCGATGTTAACCTGGCCGCCGGAGTTGTGCTGGATGACCTTGTCGTCGGCGCCTTGGGCACCGCCGCCGATGATGTTGTACGGGCCGCTGCCGCCCTTGAGGGAGAGGGCGTCTGTGTCGCGTTAGCGTGGTCTGGATTGAATTGCAAATGGTGTATGGACTATGGCTTACCCTCGCAGACGGCCTCCCACCAGACGTTTTCGATGGTGCAGGCTCCAAGGCAGTAGACGCCCTCGATCTGGTCGGAACCGATGATGGCGTTCTTCAGGGTACCGCCCTCCTGGATGAGGAAGACGGTATCGTCCTGGCCGCCCTCGCTCTGGCCGGAGCAGGAAACGCCACGGCCGTAGGTCTTGTAGCCACCGTCGTAGGTCTCGCCGGCGGCGACCTCGTAGGGCTCGTCAAAGGTCACGCTGCCTTGGGAGTCGGGGATGGGGAACTGGGCCAGGGCAGAGGTGGCCAGAAGGGAGAAGAGAAGGCTCTTTTGATACATGGTGATGTGTAAAAGGACAGGTAGAGTATAGTTCGCAGAACTGAGTGAAGAAAATCGATGCTACCAGAGCAGATGGAATGAGACTTGGTTGATGATGGGAATCGCAGTCCGCTGGCCAGGCGCTGCTTTATATCTTTTTCCTACGACTCTCAAAGTGTCTCCATCTCCAGGAGGCCTACAAGCTCATCAGCGGACTGAACTTGCGTTCCCCCTGGCAGGTTTCACTCGAGGTGTTGCCACGCCTGGACTGGCGTGTTGAGGAATCAACGTGAAACTGGGCTCGTCGGTCACGTCTACAATCGATAGGAGAATTGGCGATCCATGACTCGCAAGCTGACATTTCTGGTCGAGTTTTCCCGAGTAGGAGACAGGTCCTTCGTACTCACCCACCGGTATTTTCATCTCCGGTAGTTGATCGGCACGCCAAGATATAATGAAGCACCGGCCCATTGCCGCCACGACTCCGTCCCTTCTTGGCAGCTGGATTCAGTTCGATCGACATGCTGACCGACCTTTGTCTGTGGGAGAATCGAGTCGGTGTGATTGATGGAGATTCTAAGTTCTCTTACGGACTAGACGGCATCATACCTGTTGTATGTCCTCTCCGTCGGCCGAATGCTTGATCACTTGATCCGGAGACCGTATGTCAATGCTGAGAGACTATATGGGGCTCCCTGTCAGACGAACGTAATGTGGCGCGATGGGAGGCCCTGACAGACCAAGCACCGGGGTACTGGCGGAATAATGAGTGGATAGAAGCCGAATCATGCCCAATCTGTACCGGGTTAAAATGATGTGTCTCCACCGATGTGTCAGTTTCAGCTTTAATTGCAGTACATCAAGGATTAATTGACTCGTGCTCAATTTAATATGGTTATACGAGTCATGCACATGGTAAGCGAGTCGGAACATGTCACTCGATCAAAGGATGGTATAGAGTGCATAGAAGTCCTGCGGTCCGTGGATAACTGATTGGAGGACAATATTAACAGCGTGGAGTCGATCAATATCTCCCCTCATATGCAGTTATTTGCCCAGACTGCGCGGCAAGTGGATAAAGCAGTGACTACGCAATCTTCTGCCGAGCCAAGGCGCCAGGAGACTATTCATCTTGTGGCTCACCAGCCTTCTTCAAAAGCCGAACTCGTACTTCAGAGTGATACACCGAGGGCCAAGCTTCCTTGGCCGTCAACTGACGCTATCTACGACACACAAGAAAGTTAACACCCTCCCGTAGCACTCGGTTTCTCACACGCCTTCCCCGTGCAATTAAACCCCCGAGTTCCCTGGACATTACCACACAGATACTCATCCGCCATCGTCCCATTCGACAGCTGCAAGTTCACATTCTGAATCTGGATATCCGTGCACGGCTTGACGGCACTACACTGGAAGCTGGCCACCACGTCCGTCGCGGACGACCCCGTGACATCCTCAATGCGCAAATCCCGGATCTGGAACTTGGACGAGGTGCAATTGCTCGGCGCCCTTGCAAAGGTCGTGCACTGAGAGATGGTAAAGGGGGCGCCGCGCAGATTGTAGGCATGGAGGTTCGAGGCGGATATATCTGAGGCATCTATTGTAACGGCGTTGGTCAGTAACAGGCCCGAACATTCAAGAAAAGGGGAAGGGGAAGGGTGATTACAGCCAAGGCCGCCGCCTCCACCATTAGGCGGGTAATTGACCTGCTCGCCCGTCCAGGTCTTGAAGTACAGGCTGTGCAGCGTGCCGTAATACGTGATGTTTTCCGCTCGGACGCGCTCAATGGTCTCGAAGACGTCCTTGTACTGGCCAATACTGCCTATGGCGATGCCAAGGCCCCGGTAGAAGACCGAGTTGGTGATGAGAATGTCGGTGGAGTTGGCCTTGGTGCTGATGCTGTCGTCGCCGTTGACGACCGTCCAGTTGTTAAAGGTGATGTGCGAACTGTAGATGGTGTCGGCTCCGTCGGTATTGTCTTTCCAGTTAGCTTAAACGTCATTTACTTCATGATGTTACTTACGAGCCGAATTGCCGTTGGTGGTAGTGCTGTTCACATAGACCGAGTCGAAGAGGATATGATTCGAGTGAATCACAGATAAGGTCCTGACTCTTAGCTATGACCACCTGAAGAGGATGGCTACTTACCACATCTGACTTTGCAGGAACCTTAGCCCCTGAAAGACCGAGTTCGATGCCCGCGCGACGGTCAGGGCGTGTGGCCTGCGAGGATAGTTCGACACACTCTTGACATAGTCATACCACACCTGTCCGTTGCCGTTCAATGTGCCGTATCCGTGGCCGTTGAACCGGATGTTCTTCCCTCCAATAACCCATGCGGTGGACTGGTTCTGATAGCCCACGTCCAATGAGTGTGAGAGCCAGTACGAGATGTTCGTTCCCCACTGCGTCTGTCAGTTGGCTACAGAAATGAAGGCAAGAGTTTATACCAAAAGTGTGCCATAAAGGTCAATGTCGCAATTGTGCAGTCCGCTTGTGTTCATCACACTGTTTACATGGTATGTGGTATTCTGAAAGACGATCCTGCCCCCTTTCCCACATGTATGGAAGGCTTCGAGGATAGCAGGGGTATCATCGATGGATTCAGAACCTTCTGCCTTGACAATACATGTTCGGCGATGAGACTGTCCGGTAGTGCCGTCTGCAATGGCCGCTAACGGCAGAAGGACCCAGGGCAGAATATTGGCAAGATACATCGTGATTAACTACAATGGGTTGACATGACCGATGAGCATGCAATGCATGACCCTCATCTGATATAACAGCTGCAGATCGCTCATTATTATCCCGAGTCCGAACCTTGTCTTACTGAGCGTCCTATTCACCGCGAATTTGCGGAGAGATCGACATCCTGCGGGGTCACGCCATCCCCCGCTTTTTATATTGATCTGATACGAACGACGGAGAAATTCGACCAGATTCTTGGTCGTGATGCATTGCAATTGGAATAGAATAGAACGAACAACGGAGAAACTGTAAGGCTCAGATGCCGAGGATACCTTTCTTTTCGCATACGGAGGAATCTAAGGAATAAGCATGCAAAGATCGATTGATCGTCTATAGGTATCATCTCTATCTATATCTATACTCTATACATCGAAAATAGATTCCTTGTACACCGAAGGATCAATGTAAGGAGTTCCCCCACGCCTGGTGAAGCCCCAGCGGATCTGGTTCGCCATGGAGATCTCCACGCCGAGATGCTGAGCAAACGTCCAGGCCAGGCCGGGGTCCTTCTGGAATCCACGACCAACAAGCGCAACATCGATATCCTGCTCCTCGAGGATCTGATTCGCCTGCTTGCCGTTGGTGATAGCGCCCACGGCGGCAACCAGCAACTTATCGCCGACGGCCTTCTTCACGGCGACGGCAAAGGGAACCTGGAAGGCAGGGCCGGACGTGATCTTCTGCTGGGCGAGAACACCACCGCTGCTGATATCAATCAGGTCAACGGCGCCCTGCTTGACCAGCTCCTGCGCGAACCGCACGGTATCCTCCGACTTCCAGCTCTGCTCCGGCAAGGTCTCCTCGCACCAATCCGAGGCCGAGATGCGCAGGAAAACGGGAACGTTAGGGCCCACGGCCTCACGAGTCAACTGCGCAATCTCGAGAGACAGCCGGATGCGGTTCTCGAACGACCCGCCGTACTGATCCGTGCGGTTGTTGGCAGCAGGCGATAGGAACGACGAAAGCAGGTATCCGTGCGCATTGTGAATCTCGACAAAGTCCGCACCGGCGGCGATGGCGCGCTTCGCGGCCGCCGCCCAGTCCTTCTTGAACTGCTCGATTTCGTCCAGCGTCATGGCCTTGGGCTTGGCGAAGGGCTCCGCAAAGGGGATATCGCTGGGGCCCCTGACGCGATCCGGCCATCCGCCGACCTTCTCCGTCGCGATGGCAGAGAACGAGATCCAGGGAGGAACGGTGGTGGCCTTCCGGCCGGCGTGGGCGAGCTGCACACCGATCTTCTGGCCCTGGCTGTGCACAAAGTCGATGACCCGGCGCATGGGGGCGATCTGGGAGTCCTTCCACAGACCGACATCCTGAGGGGTGATGCGGCCTTCGGGCTGGACGGCGGTCGCCTCGATCATCATCAGGCCGGGTCCGCGTTGCGCGATCCCACCCAGGTGGGCGATGTGGTAGTCGGTCATGTGGCCATCTTGGGCAGAGTATTGGCAGAGGGGTGCCAGCTGAAGGGAATTAGCTTTCGTCGATATGAACAAGGGCAAAAGGACTTACACCAAGGCGGTTCTGGAATGTGACGCCACGGATGGTCAAGGGCGTGAAGAGCTTGGGGATCTTCTGGCCATTGGTCTGGGGATTCGCTGCCGTACCAGCAGGAGGGTTCTGGGCCGGAGTGAAGTAGGGGATGCCCTCGGCAGCAGGAACGTCGATATCGGCGACAGTCATTTTGTTGTGGCAGTGATTGTGGATGGTATTGATGGTCGGTATGAAACAGTTATGTGCAGGGATCTCTATTTATATACATATTGAGGCAGGCACAGAAATCAATAGAACGTACGATTCCAAGGATAGCTCCACTTCTTCAGGCTTGATTTACAATCTTGCCGAATAGTGGAGACTTTCCTCAGGGAAACGGCGCTGGAAACAGAATGCCGAATGCCACAAGGTGAGGTATATCGCGGCGATCGCTCGGCGACGGGTAGCTGTCCTTGGGTAGATATGTGGCAACAACATCGATTGCCCAGGTACCTGACAGCAGAATTGCCTAGAAAGGCAAAATAAGCATCAAACCAGTGTATTCCTTTGCCTCTGCCGAAGAAAAATCGAAAATTGGACGTACCACAGTGGAGCACCCAATTGATGCCTTAATCAGCAGGCGGAGACTCGGAGGAAAATCAGTCCAAAAAAGTCTCCGAGGATGACTAACCGAAGGCTTGCCAGTTGGCCACAGAATCATTTGCCTCAGACACCATCCCAACAATACGTATTCTTCATGAAAGACGGCGATTTCTACGTCCAACTGCATAACAAATACTTCTGGCATAAGGTGATCTCGCGAATATGACATAAGTCTCGCATTGCTCTCTGCGCCATACATAGCAACACCCTGGTGACTTGACTCTCTTCGATAAGAAGTGCAGTATATATTCTAAGGTGGTCTTCCAAGTCTAATCCAACATCTTGTATTCAAGTCTATAGTCAAAGATGTATATGTATATATGCAAGATCACTGCAATGTAACAGTCTTGCCCTTTGGCCCTCCGCACTCATACACTGCCAGCAGTGTATGGTGATCGAGAGCCAAAACACCCGGCCAGTGACTCGTATGGGGGCAAATCACCGTCGGCCGGGTCCAAGAGATACGTCCGTCTTGCGGCGGCCCCGCAAAGACCATCTTGATGCACGCGTTCTTCGTCCATTGCACCTCCCGCTCATCCTCGTCCGTCATGAAAATCACCGCCAATGAGCCGTCTGCAAATGATGCAATCTGCGGCGCTCCCGCATTGTGGCCGCGAGGCGGTACATACACTTCATGCCGCCATCCCCAGGTCCGGCCGTCATCATACGAGAGCAATGCCTCAAGATTGAATGTGCCGTACCGCGTCGTCTCGAAGACCATCACCAGTGCCTCGCGCCCATTGTCGACGGTCGACGCGATTCCCGTCATGCCATCGCGGATCCGATCGTTGATACCCTCCAGACATTCAGGCTGTGACCACGACGACCCTTGATCGGACGACCGCACCAGCATTGTGCACTGATTATCGTGGGCGTATTCCTGCGAATAGAACAGCTGCACCTCCCCTTGACGGCCAAGCCGCATGAACGGCTCCCAGATCCCATTTGGAGGGGACTTTTCAACGGCCTGCGACGCGTACTGCCAGCTGCGACCGCCGTCTGTCGACCGGCACACGGTTATACGGAAGTGTGTAGGCCCGTGGGGACCGAGATCGTGGTTGCGAAAGGCCCCGAGCACGATAGAAGGTGCAACCTCCAGGAGGAACAGATTATCACAATCGCCCTGACCGCGTGTCACCTCGCCAAAGTCGCGGAATGTGCGACCGCCGTCGGTACTTTTCGCGACCATAAGGATGCGGCTTTGGCCAGCGAAGCGGGTGAAGGCGGAGAGGATGGAGCCATCGGACAGTTTGGCGAGACGGGGATATGTACCGTAGGGCTCAGAGGAGAGGAGGCGTTCATCATTATTGATCAATCGGTTTCCTGGAAGACGGGCGTCGTTCTGGGGCTTGAACGGGTGATGGCCGCGCTGGTCATCCAAACCGAATGTTTTGAGGATTTTCTGACCAAAATGTCCAGGCATACTGTGTAAAGTGGCTCACTGTTCCAAATTCTATGCTGTTAGTACAATGCAAATGCAACAAGAATACCCTGGAGATGCTCAGCTTCTTAAGTAGTACAAGTGTCAGGGAGCTAAACCTCAGGGAACCTTGACTGTTGTGGGGATGCCGGGATGCCTCAGGCTCATGACGTCAGATGACATGACGCGGGCGAATCATTGGTTGTCATGTGCACGGAATAACAATGTTCCTGCTAGCGGACACATAAATGTGGCTGCCTGAGGCCCACACTAGACTTGGCGTATTTCCACGGATTTGATTGGAGGAAAGCGTCAAGCTTATTGGGAATGCGGGGTAAGCTGATCATGAACAGCTGAGGAACTGAAGCTGACTGACAGTAACATAATGGCAGACCCTGAGAGCTGGATAGACACCTCCATAGTACTAAGCCAGCCTGGAATCCTCTAAAAGAGTCCCCTTTCCAGCAATTGATTTGGCGCTTTCGAGCTTCAATGAGAGAGGGCCAATGTGTCATGTGCCCGGATCTGGAATTCGTCGACCAACTTTAAATCTGGAGGCGAATCCAGTCTTGTCGTACAATGAGGGGGAGCTGCGTGTCCGTGCTTGGGTACGTCTTGTAGCTGACCTCATGACCCCCGTAGCATTATGTATTCCATTTGCGGGCTGGAAGATTTACATCTCGTAGAAGCGTAGGATGTTGTCTCTGTCGACACTGTAGTCATCTCTATAGAATCAAGTTGCAAGGGAAGGTAGATAGGATGTCGCTGCAGACATTGCTTGTACCCTCAGTACAGAGGATTATTCGTATCAGTCCTCCGCCTCATGTCCTTCCTGAGTCTTATACCACTGCTCGCAAAGATCACTTCGTTACTCTTCCAGACGAGCTCCTTTTATTGATATTTTCCGTTCTCGAAACAGAGCAGACTCCTCACGAGATCAAACTCGCACAATGGAGTCCTCTAACCAGAGTCTGCAGACGGTGGCGCGATATCGCGGAAACCCTCCTCTATCGGACGCTCTTGTTGAAAGACCGCAATCCTCGGATCGTTAAATGGTGGGCGACTGACAAACAGAGACTGTCAAAGCTGCTGTCGACGTTGCAAAAGAGACCTCATCTTCGCTATTATACCCGATGTTTGAATGTCATCGTCGACAATGATACATACTCCGACGATATCCTTCGCATCATGGATCTTCTGCCTTGCGTTCGGCGAGTAACCATGCAGTTGGACCTCGTTAAAAGTTCATACCTCCCTCTCCTACAAAGCATCGGAAGGATGAAGCTCGAAGAACTCGAGTTCGTCGGATACGGCGCAGCTCCTTCCTTGAACCTGCTGTTTACTATCATGAGCCAGATGACAACCTTGAGGAGACTCTCTACCTATCGTTGGGGCTGGTGTCGAGATAGCAGCATATATACAAGCTTTGCACACGATGACAGTGCTTCTATGACAACAGAAGAACTTTCCCAGCTTCTTCCACTTAACAAGCAAGGAACATCGGCACTGACAAGCCTGGATCTGCAAGATCCCAAGACATCGATTGAAGTAACGGAATGTCTCCTTCGATGGCCCGCTCGACTTCAAGAGATCAGTCTCTTGTCACTCTGCTACGGACCATACGAGAGTCACTACGACGCCCGTAGCATCCAGCGACTGCTTTCGATTCACAAGGACTGGCTGCAAAAGATCACCCTTGGCCCTATTCCGCCCCAAGGAGAAGACATTCCTGACTTTTCAGACTTTCCTCGGCTTAACGATTTACATGTAACTCTGTACGATTCTTCGTCCAATGAGCGTGAGATGCCGTATGTCATCTACAAGAAGATTGCAGCACCCAATCTCCGACGTCTCGAAATCGATCTCGGTAATGAACGTCAGCCGAATGACAAATGGGTCGCCGAGTTCCTTGCCCTTGTGCGACTTGGGCGGAAGAAATGTCCTGCACAGACATGTCTCCAATGGGTGGACGTCAAGTTCTGCCGATGGGGTGACTTGGCCTTGGGACTCGCCCGGAGGAACAGTATCAACTGCGAGAGTGTGCGATATCCCATCGACGCCCTGGACCACGTAGAATATCCTTCCCGGTACCTTTAATAAACCCGCAGAATTTCTACGCCAATGAAGGACTTGAACCTGGCAGATCGGATATTTACCGGATATTGCGCCCTATCAGCTGCACCTCAGACCACCAGACCAAGACTCCTCGCGGAGATGCCAAGCAGCAATATAATTTCGATGCAGGTCGCTTAGAAGTGGTCTTGTCTCGAGACGTTCTCCCGGAAATCGTGAAGTTTCAGACGAATTCCATGCCGATCTTTGCACGATATGTCTTGCCGATACTTCATACCGGGCAACATAAGATACCTCATTTGGCTCCATGCCCGCTCCCTGTAGATGTTGAATACTACACCCACACAACATCCCTCATAGACCAGTGTCGATCACTCTACCAGTCATGCATAAAAGGCGCGAGAAAAGATCCCTCATCAGATGCATGTTCACCAAGCTCACAATAGAGTTTGAAGAAGGCAATATCCTCGAACATGAAGGCTTTCACCACCCTTATGGCGTTGACCCTGACGACCTGCGTCGCGGGACATGGGTATCTCTATATCCCCAGTAGCCGCACTAGACTAGGAAACGAGGTATGCGAACACCCCCAAGGTCCCCAACCCAGCTAACAAGTCAGGCCGGCGTGGACTCCTGTCCCGAATGCGCCATCCTCGAACCCGTTTCGTCCTGGCCCAACCTCGACTCTGCCCCCGTCAGTCGCAGCGGCTCCTGCGGGTACAACGCCCGCGACAGCATCGACTACAACCAGCCGACCAGCAACTGGGGTACCAAACTGGTTGCCACCTACACCGCCGGCCAAGAGATCGAAGTGCAGTGGTGCGTCGACCACAACGGCGACCACGGCGGCATGTTCAGCTATCGCATCTGCCAGGACCAGAGCATCGTGGACAAACTGCTCGACGCGTCGTACCTGCCCACCGAGGCGGAGAAGCAAGCCGCGGAGGACTGCTTCGAAGCTGGCCTCTTGCCTTGCACGGATGTCAATGGACAGGAGTGTGGGTATAGTCCGGACTGTGTCGAAGGTCAGCCCTGCTGGCGCAATGATTGGTCTACCTGCAATGGGTTCCAGGCGTCCGAGAGGCCGAAGTGTCAGGGGGTGGATAATGCGCCGTTAAACTCGTGCTACACTTCTATTGCGGGTGGGTATACTGTCACGAAGAAGGTGAAGATTCCGGACTATGTGTCCAATCATACTTTGTTGTCGTTCAAATGGAATTCGTTCCAGACGGGGCAGATCTATCTCTCTTGTGCGGATATTTCTATTTCTTAGGTATCCCGCCCAGATGGATGAATAAACGCTGGAGTAGATATTTTGTACATTGTTATTTCCTTTCGCACCCGTTGAATACCTTACAGACGCGGATCTATCATGGTACTTCTCTGGGGTCCCAGGGGTGCCAATTTCGGACCTCAGAATCTGAAATGCAAGAATATCGCAAGCGGGGCGCTAAGGCCACTATAAAGCTGACCGTATGACGATGAGCTGGCTTGACAGGAGCTGCTCCTGCGCGAAAAGGACAAGGATACTCAGATGTAAGAGAGGCCACCTCAATAGTAACGAATCTCTCAGGATAACGACTTGGCTCATACAGAGTATTTAGTACAAAGAGTCTCAGTCTCGTCTCGTTCCATCTCTGCATTACTGGGCAAAAATAGGTGACAGACAGCAGCCTACACATAAATAGACCCAACTCTGACCAGACCCCAGTTGTGATCCACACCAGACTCGATATCAGGTATAGGTCCCATGGGAACGATACCCTTTGGATTGATGTCCGCTTGATTCTTTGGATCTGTTCGAGTCAGCTGATGAATAATAATGCACATCCTCAAAGTACCTACAGCTTTCCTTGATATGCTTGAAACTAGTCGATTCCCTGAATCCTTCCACGTTATAGTATAAATTCTTCAGCCAGTTGTTGATGGTCGGATAATTGTGCCGGATTGTTCCCAGGTTGCACTTGCAGTGCTGGACATAGATGGGATCGAACCGGATGATGGTCGTGTACGCCCTCAGATCGACCTCGCTGATGTGTTTACCCAAGATGAACGGCCCACCATTGTCATGGATGAGTCGCTCGAGCCGGTTGAGCGCTCGAAAGACGGCTGGGACCGCCTTGTCGTAGTCCGCCTGAGTGGCCGCGCCTCCCGCCTTGTAGACGCCAGCGTTGAGATCTGGTTGCATCCAGGCGGTGATCTCATCAATTTGCGATCGCAGAGTGTCGGGGTATAGATGTACCCTTTTGTGAACTACCGGCAGAATGCTGTCAAATGCATTGGGTAGCCAGCGGAGCATCTCGGCCGAGTCGTTGCTCACGATTGTTTCCGTCTCCTTGTCCCAGAGCACAGGGACGGAGTACGGTCCTTTGTAGTCCTTATCGGCTTTGAGGTAGATCTCGCGCAGAAACTCGCTGCCATAGAGATCGTCGACCGTTGCGCCGGGATATTCATCGTTGGTCTTTGGGAATCGTAATCCTTCCCCTGTGATGTTGGGGTATGGCCTGACCACTGACAAGGAGATAATATCGGTCAGGACACAAACATGACGCACCAGATTGGGCCGGTGAGCAAAGGGGCAGAAGAGTCCTGTCGCGATGTTAGTCAAATTTCTTGATTGAAATGAGTGACAAACCAATGTAGAGATGGTAGCGTCCTGCGACGGGAGGGAAAGGTCCATCATTAGAGATAACCCCGTGCCAGCCATCATTGGTTCCTGGTTTATGGGCCATCTAACTGACTATCAGCTACTTAATACTCTTCTGGGTGTTGTTCTGACGGTTGAAAGTCCTGAAAAGCGAAATGGACAGATTGTCCAGCACTGAGGTAACACAACCACTGCTGACGTCAGGCGGAGGAGCAGAAGTTCCCCGCATGCATTTCATCATGCCGTTGGGTACAGTTGGAGATTGTCTATTTACTATTAATCCAAGGACTAGGATAGCTTCAATTTTATCAAAGGATTGATCTGGGCAGATTTTAGTGTCATCATTGCTCACGTAGTTCAGATTCTCGAATAACTGCGTAGCTGGTACCTCCAGCAACTGAGGATGAGTTTCTCGAACTTTTGAACAATACCGCTATGCAGACAAAGACGAAAGAAAGGAGAGTCGACATGAATCCAGCAGTTCACGAGTCCACTTCCGAACAGGACGAAAAACCCACAGACCTTCCTCAACCACCGAAAGACCGCTTGGCCCCGATCCTTCGTCCTGATCATCGTGTCCCGGCAGCTCACTGGGAATTAGTCGTCTTCGTCTTCGTCTTTGTCATTTTCATCGCTTTCGTCGCTTTCATTGCTCTCATCATTTGTATCGTTTGTTGCAACCAAAGCATCAAATGCCTCGCAATCGCCGCATACGCATTTCTTCGCCCAGGGGTTGACCCATTCGTCATCGTTCTTGGCGTCGACAGTGTCGCTGACCTCTTGGATCTCTCGTTCCGACAAGTTGCGAAACTCGGAGAGCAGTCTGGTGTTGGCAACCTGATATATGTTCCACAGATCCATCATGACCTCAAAGTCGACTTTCTTTCCCCGACCCCGAGGGCCCGTGTAGGCACTGAGATAGCATCCCTCGCGACCGCCGTCCAGCACGGATGCCCTGAACCTGTCTAGTTCGGCGAGTGTGTTGTACGGGCTATGCCAGTCGTCAGCCATTTTAAGACGATCGTCCATCACCTTGATCCAGTAGCCCCAGTCTTCGCTCCAGCCATATTCGATGGTATTGTGCTCGTCGGCTCGATCATCCGAGGTGGACCACCACTCTTCCTTCCATCTTCCGATCATCAGAGACGACTCATAACTTGTAGACGGGTGACGGTAAACTTACTTCTTTGAAGTCATGATGAACCTTGTGCGTTTGCAGTGGAGGCTTCTTATCAAGGCTGTGATGGAGTAGCTGCGGATGATGGAAGAGAAAGAAGCAAAGGGGAAGATGAGGGGGAATTTATATTCGGGCATAATCTCATGCATTCACTCATAGCATGAAGAATTTGCACATAATAGAAGATTCCGGGCTCTTGTATAGAGTGAACGCGGGTCTGTCCATAGTGACCAGCCAGTAGAACGCCACAGTCTCCTTGTTAGTCTCTCAAGAAGCGGAGACTCACACAGTGCAGTGTGAATACAAGGTTAAAGAAAAGAGATCATCTCCCAACTGCCTTCGGAGAGATCGTAGAACCTCTTGAGAGAAAGACATAGACAGAAAATATGCCATGTTTGGACGCCTCCTCGAGCTAGGAGATGGGCAGCTTTCTCCAAAATGCCTCTTCAAATGTCCGAGAAGAGAGATAATACGACACTCCGTCAAAGTTTGATGTTCCAGTGAATCTTCCCGGAACCGGTTCCAGTTTGAGACATTGTGGGCACTGTATAGGGACTCGTTCCGCAAATCCTATATGGCTGCAATAGACGGGGTGAAGATTCGTACGGATGATAGTCACCATGACACCCTATCGAGCAATGTTATAGCTATCGAGACTTCACTTCCAGTTTTTGAGAGCTCGGATTGGAGATACCAAGCCCGTCACATGAGAACTGCATCATATTGTCTTGTTCTCAGGTGTCCGACTCGTCGATGTTTTCAATGGAAGATCTTCCGGCATGTGTTTGTTCTTTGAGGGATGAGGATCATAAAGGTGAGTAGAAGCAACTGCCGGGATGAATTCCTGTTTATGGTTACTGTCCCACTCTCGGATCGGAAGTGGCGCTCATTGGCTAACCGCACTGTGTCGCTCTCGCCCAAAGGAGTAGATGCACCCACCGGAACATGGGGCCTCCATGTATATAACGACCTGCCGCAAGGACGACACATCGCATATCAACTTTGTCGTAATCAGCCGGTCACTTACTTCCTACTTGTCTGAGATCTTCATCACCGTGCGATTCAAGATGGCATCAAACACTATTACCGTTTCTCTTCCTCAACTAGCGAAAATGATCGACCACTCTCTCCTCCATCCTACAATGACCGATACCGATATCCTCGCAGGGCTCAAGATTGCCCGAGATCACAAAGTGGCTACTGCCTGCGTTAAACCATACTCCATTCCTCTCGCCGTGAAAGAATTGGCCGGGACGGATGTCCTCGTCTGCCCCGTTATCGGCTTCCCGCACGGTAACAGTACCACCGAGATCAAAGTGGCCGAAGCAATCGCGGCCGTCAAAGAAGGGGGCGCTGAGATTGATATGGTTGTCAATGTTGGTAAAGTGCTCGGCGGCGATTGGGAATATGTGACCGAGGAGATTCGGCGGATCAACGACGCGGTCAAGGCTGAAGGCGCCCTGCTAAAGGTCATTTTCGAGAATGATTATCTGAACAACGACCACATTGCACGACTTTGTGAGATCTGCACAAGTCTGGACGTTGCGTTTGTGAAGACTTCGACGGGGTACGGATTCGTGAAGCAGGCGGACGGGTCGTATAACTACAAGGGCGCGACGGTGAGGCATCTCAGGCTGATGAGGGAGAAGGCTGGTGAGAAGGTGCAGATCAAGGCTGCTGGCGGTGTCAGGACGTTGGACGACTTGCTGCATGTCATGAGCCTGGGTGTTACTCGAATTGGTGCCACAGCTACCGTCGCTATTTTGGAGGAGGCGAGGAAACGCGGCATCGGGAATGAGCCTGTTGAAGTATCCTTCAAGCCGATGAAGGAGGCTGGGGAAACAGGTGGATACTAGGATAGTTTCGTGGTCCCATTGTAGCAGTTGATCCAGTGAAATAGCTCAAACTTTGAGCGCATTTCTTCAGCGCAATATGATATACCTACCGAATTCTTGGATAAATGCACCTGTATTTGTCCCCTAAATATCTAATCCAGTATCTTGATGTGCCAGGAGTAGAGCTTGATAAAACCCGAGGAGCATCAGACTGTCAGTGACATTGAGATACTTTCAATCATATCGTGGAAGGATATCCGGCCCCAAATCCATGTTTGTTCAAGCATTGAAGCTCCTTCATCATGTAGTGTCCGAGGGTGCCATGTATCAGTTACAAACGGGCCAGGATCAGCCCAAGCGCTGTTAACATATGTTGAGAGCACTGGACCCGTTCAGTTTGCGACATTACAAATCAAATACTGCTTGACTCACCTTGGTCGAAATCATAGAGCGCCTCCGACACAGAAGCGTCCTCCACATACTGAAGATGCGAGAAGTTGCCAACACTGTTACGTTCTGGCGTTGCTTCCCAGGTCTCTGTTTCTTGGGTGTCTCGAGAACCCGACATGGTTAATTGTCGGTCCGTCGGCATGACGGCCCCAGCAGCATCGTGAGGCAATGTCCTGGTACGCTGGCCGCTTGAAGATGGCTTTGGAAAAAGAGTACCTGTTTGGACGGCACTGACATCGCCATCTACGCTGCTGTGTTGTTCTGGCCCTCGTATAGGCTTCGAAACATCGAGCATCATGCTTAGCTCTTTGTCCAGTACGAGTTTTGTCAGCCGCTGAAGAATATCCAGGCTCTGCGTGGCTAGTAGGGATCGAGATTTTAATTTCGCTTGAATGGACATGAGTCGATGCAGCCCAACTTTGGCTTCTTGAGCCTGCGGTGTAAGGGGCTCAATACTGGCTAAAATCCCAAGAGCAACTCCTGCTGTGAAAGTATGGATGCTAACAAAGGCAGCGGCGTAGGTTTCGGAGACAAGCTCAAGAATCGGGCTGCTCGCGAGCTCCGACAAGCTCATACCTGCATCGTGGCAAGCTTGCATCGATCGTAGAAAAGGATTCTGGTGAATTGTATCAGGACGAGGCATATCGTCCAGCTCCTCGTCACCTTTAGTCACGAGCTTGTACGACAGAAGTGGCCTGTGAACTAGAATCATGGTGTTTTCATAAGCGAGCTTAATTGCTAAAGCCTGAAGGTGGTAGATATGACTGTCGAATCGAACACCCGATGCGCCGATGTCTCGATCAAATTCTTCCAGTGATGAATAGCTCACGCTGGTAGAAGCAACCGTCTCCCACCGTAGTTTGGGAGGGATTTCAGCTCGCCAGTCCCGAAGCCTTGCATCCAGATTCGCTACCCTCATAACGACTGCGCGTAACCTCGAGCCAGACTCATCAGAGGTCCTGTTGCTGTTCACTAAACCAGGCCCGATTCCATAGAGCTCGCTGAGGACCGCTTTTGTAAGGACTGACAACTTGGACATGTAATACTTGTAGGATAAAAGGGTTGTCTCGGATCTCAGTGGCTCATCAAAGGATATAGGTGATGGAGCATTCCGCAGCTTTGCCGACGGATTCAAGGGCTCAACATCACAGTCTGCGTCTCCGATGCTGTGGGGATAGCCGTAAGACATCGAACAGAACGTCTCTATCTCGTAGATCGCCCACCAACAACGTTTCCTCGTTTCATTCTGGTTGCGCTCAATAAGAGTTGATGGCATAGTGTTGACCTTGCGATGTAGGTTGAGCGACTGGGCAACCCGAAGGCCACAGCCGCAGACCGGCCATGCTAGCCGAGGAGCACCGTGGAAGAGATAGTATGTTCCTAATAGGACGCACGTCTGAACTACTTCCAGCGACCCAACCGAGATAATATCCAGCAAACTGGATTTGATGGCTTTAAGAATGCGTTGCTTGAGCGTCTCAGGTTCGGCCTCGTAGCGAGCTAAGAGACGTTGCCGATAGGGCCCAGCATAGTGCGCTCCAATAGCAATGACCATCAAAAAAGTGCTGAGAAATCCTAGATCGTTGCAAACTTCACTGGCGCCATCTAATTGTGTCCTATACAGGTATGGCCAGTTCTGACGAAAGTCATCCTGTTGAAAGATGAGCATAAACCAGTGGACTCGGTCGAAATAGGTATCGACGAGTAGCTCAGAAGCTTCATACTGCGGCAACAGTGACCTGAGCTCCGTCAGAGCTGGCGGCGATGAGTACGCCGGCGAGGACATGGGACGTAGTGTCCACCTTCTTGTCCCTGTACCGTAAAGTGGACGGCCACCTGGCTCAACGGCTTCCTTATGCCTGGTTTTGGGATTTTCACCGACAATGTCCTGCATGGCGCCTCCAGGAATGGCGTCCATTATCGGATCACGGGGAGTTGCGACATTGTGTAATTGAAATGCCTGTTTCTTTTTATCAGCAACCACAGTTGTTTGATACGAACGGGGTCTCTCACGCCATTAACTAAAGCCAGGGTCGAGCTTGAATCCCATATCGGATGGTTAGCCTTCTTAAGACGCTCATCCGTAGAAGACCCAGCATCTGTTAGTTCATTTGGAGCAGGATCTGTTCCTGTATGGCAAATCTGGGCTTGTTCTGAAGAGTTTCCACTCGCATCAGGAAGCGCTCTCCGCGCTCGTTTAGAAGGTCGTTGGATGGTAGAGTGCTGGCTGTGTCGGTAGACTCTCCAGCGGCTGGTCGTGGCTGGGAGACAATCAGCCCCGGCTCTGGAGCACAGTGTGCAAGGACGGTTGACATCACACTAGAGAATACGCCTTAGTCCATTTTTGACGACTGGGGGCGCATAATGACCTTCAATTTCTGGCGGCGACATCTTTGGCACGCGGTCGGCACCTTTCTTGGAGTTCTCGCGGAGACCATTGCGACTTCATTCTCCATTTTACCCACTCATCGGAATGAGAAGTGGATCAAGCGTGAGCTGTCATATTTCAGTTCTTTCTTGTGCAATAGGTTCTTTCTTGTGTAATAGAACCATGCCAGGCACTCGGGGAGGATGGACGGATGGAGAGAGCCAAGCTCCCTGTGTGGGATAAACGTCGATGTTCGCGGTTATCGAGTTTGGTGCCTGAGGTGTCAGTCGGTCTATGTCCCATCACCAGTTTCTAACGGTTCAATTTGCTGAAACTGGACCGACATGAATGGATGTAGAAAGTCGTT